AAGAATCTCCCCGACACCCATATATACATATAAACACACCGGTGACAACAAATGGCCCAAACACACAGGTTTGCTAGCAGCCAATGAGAAAAAGAGCTAAGCCACAGACACTGTTTCTTGGGACTTCAAACCAAAAAATTAAGACAGAAAGTAGCTTAGGAGGTGAAGTTAAAAAGATAGCAGCCAGCAGACAGGCTGACAGCAATGTAGTGACAGAAATTTAAGGAGCATAAACTAGCAATAAATGGAAGCTACAGAGATGGGAAAAACTGGAGTAGAAACAATAAGCCAAAAGGAGTAGGAAGACAGGTTAACAGTAAAACACTAACATGAAACCTAGGACTGGAGGTATAACTCGGTGGCAGGGCAACCTCCAGACTGCAAAAAAAAAAAAAAGAGTAACCTGTCTTCCTCTGCATCCAGCTCTTTTTACTAAGTTTCTGTTCTTGAAATCCAGTTGGTTTGCTTTCCTAGGCTCTCTCCTACATGTACATGTTTTCTTTCAAAAAGTGCTCCATTACTTAAGGTAACCTGAGTCTCTTCCTTGCAACTGAAAGGGCCTAAATAAAAGAGCATTTTAGAACACTTACTTTGGCAGCACTGCAAAGAGAGGGCAGAACAAAACAAGAGGCAGAAAATAGGCAAAATCACACAGAAATTATTACAGAAGCCCAACAACCAGGTGCGGTGGTATACACCTCTAAGCCCAGCACTTGGGAGGCTGAAGCAGGAGTACTGAAAGTTCAAGGCCAGTCTGAACTACACAGGGAAAGTTTAAGGTCAGTCTGAACTACATAAGGAGACCCTGTCTCAAAAGAAATTTTTTTGAATGGGGCTGTGGATGTAGCTCAATGGGGAAGGCCCTGGATTTAATCCCATTACCATGCAAAATAATAATAATAATAATAATAATAAAAGTTAAAAGGAGCCCAACAAATATTTTTAGTTAACATACACTAAAGATAAGAAAAAAGGAATAATCTGAAATACCATGAGAAAAAGTATACAAGATGCAGTGGCAAACTGGATGTTGGTAGTGATGTTCAGACTGGTGCAGAAGATGATTCATGGGTTCCTATGGCTTTATGAGACACAGCAGTGCCATTAACCAAGAAAGAAAATCAGGAGAAAGCAAAAATTTTCGGTCTAACACATGCACACATGCACACACAGGAGGAAAGAGAGGTGGAGGAGTAATGTTTTGTATATTTTTGGATCGAAATGCTTGTGAAATGTGAAACCAAATGGAGATGTCCATTAGACAGTGAGTTACAGAGGTGCAAAGCAGAAGCAAGAGTTCTAGAAAACAGTTCTCAAATTAGGAATCAATATGACACTATGCTTTAAGGATGTATGAAAGTCTTTGACTAATGTTTCTCTCAAACTATGTTAAAAATCTAAAAATCATTCAAACTAAAAACCTTAATATTCTCGGAAAGCCATATTTCAAATATCATATACTTTCCAAATAGTAAAGGCAGAAGGAACATCTACATAATACAAATCAAACGATTAAGAATGATGGGGTTTATACAACTGATTTCAACTGAGGCTGTACTTCTTTTAAAAATCTACATTTATCCAGGAATATGGGTACACTGGTACATTTACAGTAGTTCCACCTGACAGTGGCTGAGGAAAAAGGACTGCTTGAGCCCAAGAGTTTAAGAGCAGCTTGGGCAACACAGTGAGACTTCCCTGTTATCTCCAAAAAAGGGAAGTTTACTCTTTTCCCTTATGAAGTGTATAGCACTGAAATAAGGGCGGGGGTGTCATATATATTAAATAGTGGATTTTTTCTTTTCTTTTGGGGGGGGCTAGGGGGTTGTACTGGGGATTGAATCCAAGGTTTCTGCCCTGAGCCTTGTTTTTATTTTTGAGACAAGGTTTCACTAATTGCCCAGGTTGGGCTCAAACTTGTAATCCTCCTGCCTCAGCCTCTAGAGTGCTGGCATTACAGGCCCTCATTCTTAACATAATAAAAACAAACCAAGGGATGGAGCAAGTGGGATGGAAGGGGAGAAGAGAATGTAAACAGAATTAAAATATGTTATACACATGTACAAACTTCCCATGATGAAGGTAATCATTATGTACTGCAAACACGTACCAATAAAATTAATTTTTGAAAAATTTTTTTAAAAATTCACTTCGCCAAACATGGTGGTGCACACCTATAATCCCAGCACTCAGGAGGCTGAGGTAGGAGGATCGTTGCGAGTTTGAGGCCAGCCTGGGCTACAAAGTGAGCTCAAGGCCAGCATGAACTGCATAGCTAGACCCTGTCTCAAAAAGATAAAAAAAAAAAAAATTCACCCTTCTTTCATAAGGCTCCCTACCTCAGTGAAAGACAGCTGGAAATCTGAATCTTATCCTCTCTGTACCTTCTCCTCCATCTCAAATCTAATCATCACCAACTCCTTCGAACTACTAAAACCCAAATTTAGATCCATTATCATTTGCTTAGATTAATCCTCCTGATGCTCCAGTCTTTAGCCATATCTACTCTGAAATCCACCCTCCTCACAGCATCCAGGGACTTAAAACACAAATCTGATCATTGCAGTCACCTATTTTAAATCTTTCAATAATTACCTGATAAACACTACAATTACTCTAAAACTAGCCACACCACTAGTAGCTCAGAAGCTTAATTAGAAATTTACTTAATTATATATTTTTGTAGGTTCAATATAAAAGAATTATCATGGATTGTTCTCAAATCATGAAAAGTATTTAAACACACATCTAACACCCAACGCTTCTAAAATAAAAGCATACAACACAACAAAAGACTGAAAAAACTTCCAGTCCATCAGAATGGAACACTATCCTGCCCATAAATGAGCAGGCACTTCCATACGTACTGTTATCCAATATTTCTAGAATCTAGTATTAACTGAAAAAAATAAACTACATACAGAGTACAGTGCGAAATCACTTGAATGTGGTGTGCATGTTTTAAGAATATAAATATACAGGCTTACAGATGCTGAAACTAGCACAAGAAAGATACCCAAAAAGAGGAGGTTGGAGAATAAAGGAGAAATAAACGTTTTTACTACATTTGTAAACCTTTTGATTTTTATACTATGTCTAGTTACTACCTATGCGTAATTTCAACATGCCTTCCTCCCTCCTCTGTTCCACAGAAAAAAAGTAAACAATCTGAAGTACTGACTACAAAGACAACATCAAAAATATGCACTGATCATTTGATGTAACATTACATTTCCTTCTTGACAGCTTGAACACAACTTCAACAAAGACTTTACTCAATATTTTACTACTAACGGGCCAGGCACAGCGCCTGCCTGGCAAGTGTGTAAGATCCTGAGTTCAATTCCTGGCACCCAAAAAAAAAAAAAAAAAAAAAATTCACTTATATGAATAAGACCGTTGGTAATGACATCATGGAGCACTGCGTGACTTTTGTACTTGCTCCTTGGAAAAGACAGCAGCAGGAGGGGGCAGAAAATTATTAAAAATGCTATTTAAATCTTCGGGAATTAAGGACAGCTACAAATCTTAAATTGGAAAATAGTAAATCCAAAACAGGTCCCTTGGTATCTTTCAAAACTAGTGCAAAATATCTGGAGAAATCTACAAGGAGGTGCCATAAGGAATGGAGACAGTTACTGTACATTCATTGAGTACCAAGTGATTTCATCCTTACAGAAGCCCCTAAAGGGTCAGATTTGGGCCACTTCATTCATTCTGCAGAAGAGGAGCAGGCTGTGTGACCTTACAATAGCTCACACCCAGCCTGCCTGGTGTTTCACTCTTCCCTCTCCCCGCTCCTTTTTCAGCCATCAGTTCAACCCCTCCAAGCAGGAGTCTCCGTCGGTCCCTTGATGCCCCACTGGAGGGAATATACTAGACTAAGCACACGGCCCCTCAGGATCGCATGACAAAGCCATTCCAACCAAAGACAGGATCACGGCCAGGGAGGAAGATAACAAGGTCTGCTGGAGGAGGATGTGCGAGTAGGGCTACAGTAGGGCTGGGGGAAGAGGCCCGCGTCTGCGATGGTGTCTCTGGAGCATCACGACCAGAGCTATCAGAAAGCCACGGCGGATAAGGGAAGAGCTGGCGGCCGGGCAGCGAGCGAGAATGAGGGCGGGCGGGGGGTCATCGGCGGATCTGGGGAGATGCAGGGAGCGGGGGTGGCAGCGGCTTAGGGAGCGGTCGCGGCCGTGTCTGGGAGCCGCGACCCGACAGACGCGTCGGAGCCCGGGAAGACTCGGAGGAGGGTCTAACGGCGTGGCCCGCGCGGGTGACAGAGTCGCCCCGGGGGTCGAGGGGCCGGATTGGGGTCCCGCCAACGGAGGACGCGAGCGGTGGGGTCTCGCAGGAGCCGGGCCAGGCTCTGGCGTCCGCGAGGCCCCGGGCAGCCCCGAC